AAGAGTTGGCAGTCTAAAAAGTGCTTTAAAGCACACTGGATTTTTCATTTTATAAAAAGTGAACACATCCATAGTTTAGAACATCAGACAATGGAAACTTCAAAGCCATGAATATAATATTCAATATATTAATTTGGGAAGAGACTCATCCTTTTAACACTCCTGTCACTGACTTTGTCAAATATCACTATTAACTAAAATGACAGGCAGGTTGATAATGACAATGTTAAAGTTATCGTTTATGAACAGAGAACACTGTTTAAACAACACAAGGGGTCTGAAGAGAGTATTTCTCATCTGCATTCGAAACAAAGTAAAATACATTTCCAGCTTAATATATTACTTGTTTTCTTAAGCTAGACTGTGTGTTAATCTAGCTAACAGTCGTTTGTTTTGACCCTTCTGCCTCACTTGTACATTGCTTCTAAAAAATTTTATGGCAGAAAACCTATTTTTAAACTTTCATTTTAAAAACCCACTGCTTTAATCTGAGCTTACTGAATTTCTTCTAAGGACTACATTACCTTTTATTGAGCTAGGTCCACTTTTCCTTGGTTTTTAAATCTTCTACCCTTCAAGGTCAGGCACAGTATGTAATAGCAGTTGGTTCTCTCTGCTTCTAGTCTTGTTTCACTTTAAATAGCTTTTCTTAGTATTTTCTATTTTTTTCCCCACTCTGAAAACCAGTTTGATGTTAGTAGGTGACTTTAGTGATTTTTTTTTTAAAGTTAAAATATTTATTGACCCTATTTATGCTTGTTTTTAGAACCTCCTTGATGTCTTCTCTAGAGTAAGAGTTTATTTCTCCAGGAAACAAATACATTGCATATCATAGTACAAAATGCTGATCAAGAACTAGTGCTCTGAATATAATGGTCTTCCTGGCTGTATTTTGTTTTGTTAGGGCAAAGCTGTGCACGTTTTCAAAAAAGTAAGTCTCAGTCTAATACTGCAACTAAGTATTTAAGTGTTTCTGAAGTTCATTTATTAAGCGCACAGTGTGTTTGTGGTGAAGTCCTGTGGCCTTATCTTCCTCTCACATACTTATTAGTTCTCTCCAATTGTAATGTTACAGACTACAGGGTATGTTGTTCCCCCTCCCTCCCCCTCCCGCAGTCATCACTGTCATCTGAATAATCTTTCAGACATGACCGATATGCTGCAATTGCAGATTTGGCTGTTTAGTCATTTTCCTACTTAACATTAGTAATAATGTAACTCAGCCCTTAAAGGCTTATTGAAATACGGGAACCAAACAGTTAGTAGCATGAATGTTACTGGCAAATCATTCTGACTTGTAATTTATGGTTCCAGGTGAATGTTTACTAATGTGTGTTTACAGATTGGGGTTAAAACTTGCTTTAAATGGATAGTGTGCGCCAAGGTTAATTCAAATGCAGGATTAGAGTTGTCTGCCTGAAAATCAAAAAAAAAAAACCCTTCAAACTGAAAAACAACAAAAACCTAAAGTCTCTCTACTTTCTCTTTTGAATTCTTGTATGTTTGTATATTTTTCTGTAACAGAAGGCAGCAACTTTAAGCATTTCATAGCAATCTAGTCTGGTACTGCAACCTTCTTGCAAAATTAACAGACAAATCTAGTCCCCATTCTGGTTATTAAGCTTACCTGTTCTTTGTGGTGATAATATTTTACTGACTTGTCAGATTTTCTAGGTAACTGGGCAAAATGCATCATGTAAGCATCTAAGAATAAAGCTTTTTGGAGGTGTAAAGTTCTGGTGGCAAGTCTGGCTTTGTCACACTTGACCACAAGCATTCAATTACAGTTTGAATAAAAATTCATTTCTCTTGACTGACTGGCACCCATTTCAAACCACAGGAGTGAAATCACTGTCCTTTGTTTTTAGGTGTTTGAAGGCATGGTACTTTCTCCTAGGGAAAAAAAAGCAAACAAAAAACCTCAACTACTCATCAGCTTTGAAGGTACAAACCCCAAGGTATTAACTCAAAACTGGTAACCTGACCTGATTCAACATTTAGATTTCCTTAAAATGTTTTAAGACATTGCTATTTAACTTGCACTCTGAACTTTCTTATTAGGTCATATAACAATAATACCTTCAAAAAGTAAATGCTGTAATTCCATTACAGGGTAGGGGGTTTGGGGTGTTTTTGGTTTGCTTCATTTTCACACGTTTTCAGAAATCATGAAGTTCTATAGTGCAATTTGTGGAAGTTTAACTTGCAGAAGGAACTGTATCCCCTCCCACCCCAAACACACGCACACTCTGTCTCTCTCTAGGATGAGGACAGCAGAGAAGAATGCTTTTAAGAATTCAGGCATAGCACTGCTGTGGGATTTCTCAGTAAAAGAACTTCAGCTCTCTTCCTCAGTCTGGAACAGAGAGATTGTAATTTGTCAACTCAGAGTACAGCAGTGATATCTGAAGTAAAGTCTGTGCATAGCACAGGCTCCAATGAATACAAACTGGTTCTTGTTTATTCTAGTGCCCTCTCATAGAGTAGGATAAAGCACTCCAAGGTGTATCCCCCACAACCCCAAACTCCCATTCAACTTCAGGAGCATCACTCGCAATGCAGATGGGGTACTGCTACTCATTATATGAAAAAATTAGTCTCCCTTAAGAACAAAATTAGTCTCCCTTAAGAACAAAAGAGGCCTCAGTTCTTCCCTTCTCTCCCTAAAAAGCCATTTGAAATTCAGTATTCTGAGCATAACTAAAGAAAGATCCTAATGAGTGAGTTTTAGGCGTGGTATGGTTTTGAAAAATTAGTACAGTCATTTCTTAGCAGAAGAAAGAGAAACAAAGACAAACCTGAACTAAATTCCTTAATAAGAACCCAGGAGAATTTCTAGACAAGTGAAAGGTCTGAAGCA